ATCTCCCCCTTCCCCGACAATAAATGTGGCTTCGCTAAAATAAGGCGAGAGAAGCATCGCTCCGCTCCGGCAGCGCAGGAGGGGGAAAGAAAATCAGCTCCACGGCAGATCCCGGACAGAACAACCGGGGGATGGAGGGCTTATTTTTTGTCTCTTTTGTTTCTTTGTCGGTTTTTATTCACAAGACTTAGTTTGCTTTGAAATTTCATAACTTATAAGGAAATAAGCTACATTGAAATAAATTAAACACAATAGAGAAGATCGTGCTATTTTTCTCCCACCCCCCCCGCCCTCCCCTCTTTCTCTCTCTTTTAAACATGGCTTAGTAGAATAGGCAAACCAAATCGACAGAAAGCCAGGCAAAAAATAGATTTCAAAACCCGTCCCCCAGTGCCTGCCACTGAGCCCTCGGCCATCAAATCAGACAATAAAAAAGGCATGAAATGAAACTCTGAGTTCTCTTTCGTTTTTGTTCTCTCGTCTTTGTTTGTTTTGGGTTTTTTTTTTTTACCTTTCGCCCCCGGTAAGAAACATAACCCCCAAAAGGTGGCTAAAGGCGGGTTTCGCTGGGGATGTCGCTGCCGGTGATGGGGGGACACGCTGCTGGATCCGGCGCCGACACCGCGTCTGTGGTCCCCATCGCGGCCAAGACAGCAACGGGGCAGCGTGATAATAAATACGTGTGTGTCTCTTTCCAGGGTTTGGTATTCCTGCTCCGAACCAACGCAGCTCCCAAGCGTCTGCCTTCTCAGACTCTCGCTTGACTCTGTAAGTGGAAAGTTTGGCTTTAAAGTTCGCTCGTGGCGGGGATTTGCGGTGCGGTCGTGTGGGATTTCGTCTCGTCGGTTGTCGTTTGCTTTAGGGGTTGTGTTGCTTTGCGGTTTGTTATTTTTCTGCTGCTGCTTCTGTTTCTCTCTCTTTTTTTTTTTCTTTATTTTTTTATTCTTTTTTCGGGTGGGTTGTTTTGAAACCCCGATTTTTGGAAACTGTTCCCTCAAAAACTTGTGGCTCTGAAGCAGTGCAGGGAGAGATCAGGGTCGGGCTTGCTCCAGCTGCTGATGCTGACTCCTGATCGCAAACCTGCTGACGTGCACCGGGATGGGGACCACGATCTTAGGGTTTCGGGAGGGCTCCCCTGTCTTGGAGTTGGCATTGCCCGCCTTGACCCGTTTCCATTTAGCCCGTCTGTTCTGGAACCAGATTTTCACCTGCACCTCGCTGAGTTTGAGGGCGTGAGCGATCTGGGACCTCTCCGTCAGGGACAAGTACTTTTTGCAGTGAAACTCCTTCTCCAGCTCCAGCAGCTGCTCGCTGGTGAAGGCTGTCCGCCTCCGCCGGTTTTTGCCCGTGGATGTGGTGTTGGTGGAATTGGGGGGGTTTTGGGGGTTCTCCTCCAGCGCATTGCCAGAGTCCTCTTCCTTGTGAGCCGCCTGGCCAGGGATGTTGTCGTCCGAGCTATAGTCTAGATCGCTGTCCATGGAGAAACTTTCCTCCTTGCCTTTTGCATCCTCTTCTGCTTTGGGGTCCTCCTTCCCCTGG